TCGCTCTCGTCGAAGGCCAACAGCCGCCGGCCCCCGCGGTTCCGGCGCCGGGCCCCCGGGCCCCGGGGCTTGCGCCGGTAGCGGAGCGTGCCGAGGTGCTGGCCCGCGACCGCGGCCGCGGCCGCGGCCTCGGCGACGGTCGGCTCCGCGGCCGCCGCGACCTTGGCCGACGCGACGTTCGCGGGCCGGAGGGGCGCGGCGCCGGCGTGGATGAGGTCCCGCGCGATGGCCTCGAGCGCGGCGCTGCGCGCCTCGGGCTCGAAGGGGCACGCCGCGCCCGCCGCGCGGAACGACTCCGCGGCGGCGGCGACGGCGCGGTGCGTCGCGTCCGGCAGCGCCGCGGCCGCCGCCGCGCGGGCGCCGCCCGGCGCCAGGAGCGACGCGCCGTGGGCCGCGAGCACGGGCGCCTCGGGGTAGTTGAGCGGGGCGGCGCCGCCGTCGCGCGGCCGCCGCGCGGCGCCGGACGCCGCGAGCGCCTCGAAGACGCGGAGCGCGGCGTCGGAGCCCCGGCTCGCGAGGGGCGTCGGCGCCGCGTGGTGCGGGACGATGGTCGACTTGTAGACGTCGCCGCCGCTGCACTCGAAGAGCACGAGCGGCCGCTCGAGCCCCGCGTTGTCGAGCGTCGACCCGTAACCCTTCCGCCTCGCGCGGCACCGCGTCCGGCAGGCGACGGCGACGTCGTGGGGCCGCGCGCTCTTGAGGACCGTGTTGAAGACGTCGCCGCTCGAGCGCCGCTGCGTGAAGAGCGCCGGCCGCGCCGCGTACGCGGGCGCCGCGGGCCCCGCGAGCAGGAGCATGACGGCCTGGGCAGCACAAGGGTGATTCAACGTCGCTTCGACGTGAGCGTTCCGCGCGCGCGCGTTCCGACAAAAGCATCCACGCTGCGATACCGTCCCGAGAGATGATCGCTCGTCCAAAAATCAGCCGAAACGAGTGGAAAACGGCCGAGAAAGGAGCCTTTGAAGTTGGGAATGTCGCTCTCTTTTGCTGCCCCGATGACCGCCTGGTCCGCGGGGCACCGCGACTGGCGGCGCGCGACCTCGGACGACAGGTCCGGCCGGCATTTGCGCACGCCCGCCAGCACGCGCTCGGCGCCGTCGCGCGTCACGGCGAAGGCGTGGAGGCACAGCGCGGACGTCGTGCGGAAGACGTCGCCGCCGACGCGGTCCTCCAGCCCGCAGTTCGCGCGGCAGGAGCCGAGGTAGAGGACGCGCCAGACCGGCGGCAGGTGGTGGAGCACGCTCCGCAGCCGCGCGCGCAGCCCGACGCCGCTCGGCGCGAAGTCGTCCTCGAAGATGAGCGCCGTCTCCGCGGTCGTCGCGAGGAACGCGCGCAGCGCCTTCCGGTGGCTCAGCGACGTCGCGATCTCGCCGCTGCTCAGATCGTCGAGGGCGTCGGCCGTGAACTGGTCCCGGATCGCGTCGAAGTCGCCGTCGCGCTCCGGCGGCTTCACGGCGTCGACGACCTCGACGTCGAGCCCGAGCGCCGCCGCCGTCGCCCGCGCGGGGCCCGAGCTCTCGTTGACGCCGACGACGTAGATCTTGTCGAAGAAGTCGAAGGGGTCGCCGTAGGGCTCCGCGGCCGCCGCGGCGCAGCACAGCGCGGCGAGGAGTCGCCGCATATTAGCTGCCCACCATAATATTATGATGCATCACGGAGCCTGAGCACATCAACTAAGCCTTCAAGTTCGACGTGTGTGAATTAGCGCGCGCCTCCCGGCGCCGGCGGCGCGACGAGGGCGAAGGGCCGCACCTCGGCCTCGAAGGTGGAGCCGTCGCCCACGGAGACGAACTCGAAGGACCCGCGGATCGCGCCCTTCGGCCCCCGGAGCTCCGTGCCGGACGCGTACTGGAACTCCGCGCCCGGCGCGAGCGTCGGCGTCTGCCCGACGACGCCGTGGGAGCCCTTGGGCACGACCTCGTCCTCGGCGCCGTCCTCGTCGGCGATGACCCAGTGGCGCGACCGGAGCTGCACCGTGTCGTCGCGCTCGTTCTTTATGCGGAGCCGGTAGGCGAAGAGGTTCGCGCCCGACTCCTCGTTCGCGCCGAGGAACGTCGCGCTGGCGATGACGCGCACGCCGTGGGACACGGCGTGCGACGACGCCGCGTGGCGGCCCAGGAGGTCGTGGAGCGCGCGCAAAGCCGCGAGCGCGTCGTCCTGCGCCGCGTCCTCGTCGTCGACGGGCTCCGCGAATCTCCGCCGCGCGAGGCGCACGAGGTCGTCGGCCGACAGCGCCCCGGCCTCGCCGCAGGCGTCGGCCGGCGCCCAGGGGAAGACGTCCTCGCGCTGCTCCTCCAGCTCGGCCGGCGTGAGGCGCGTGTGCGTGCCCCACTCCTCGCTCGTCACCGGCGGCGACAGCTGCAGCGGGTGACCGCTCTTTTTTATCTGGTGCACGCCGCGGAGCGTGGCGCGGTAGACCGCGCGCGCGAGCATGGTGCTCAGCCCTCTCTGTGGCTGTGGACTTGGGCTGTGGACAATTTTTCGGCGAAGCGTTTCTTGCATTATTCAACAATCGACGGTGCACTCGTACACGTCAGCTTGCAGACGCTGTCTAGCAACTTGAGCTTCGCTGTCGCAGCGGAGTGCACTTGTCGGGGTCGATGCCTAAGCGTTACGGCCCCTAGACGGGGACGATGGCGTACTTCTTGGACGTGGACCGCGAGAAGAAGCCGTACTTCGCCGTCTGGCTCTTGTAGGTCGTCGCGAGGGCCTGGACCTCGGGCACGCCCGTCCACTTGCCCTTGTCCGTGTCCGGCTTGTCGTTGGCCCACTCGCCGACGAAGGTGCCGCCGTCGACGTAGGCGCACTCGCCGAGGCCGTGGCGGCCCGACGCGTTGAAGTGGCCCTCGTAGACGTCGCCGTTGGCGAGGTTCAGGACGCCGCGGTGGCGCGTGTCGCGGACGTAGTCGCCCTCGTAGGTCGCGCCGTCGTCGTCGCGCGACTTGCCGACGCCGTCGCGCTGGTCGCGGCGCCAGTCGCCCTCGTAGGCGACCTCGGCGTCGTGGCGCGTGCCCGCCCAGGTGCCGTTGCCGTCGCGCATGTCCTCGGCCCACTCGCCCGTGTAGCGCTCGAAGGGGCAGCCGTAGGTGCCGACGCCGTGGCGCTTGCCCCGGGCCCACTGGCCGTCGTAGGCGCCGCCGTCGTGGTACGTCTGGCGGCCGCCGCCGTGGCGCTTGTGGTCCCTGAAGTCGCCGACGTAGACGTCGCCGTTGGCGAAGCACAGCGTCCCGTGGAAGCGGCCGTCGTCGCGGAACTGGCCGTCGAAGTGGGACGCGTCGAGGTACTTGGACGCGCCCGCGCCGTGGCGGCCGCCGGCCTTCCAGTCGCCGTCGTACTCCTTCTCGTGGTCCGGCCGGCCGATGCCGACCCAGGTGCCCCGGCCCTGCTCCCGGTCCTTGACCCAGTCGCCGTCGTACCGGCCGTTGTCGTCGACGTGGACGCCCGCGCCGTGGCGCTCGTCGTCCTTCCACTCGCCGTCGTACTTGGACCCGGACGCGTAGACGCAGGAGCCCCGGCCGCAGCGCCGGTCCGCGACCCACTTGCCGACGTAGTGGTCCCGCGACGCGAAGAGGCAGTCGCCCGTGCCGTTGCGCCGGCCCCCGTGCCACTCGCCCGCGTACTTGGCGCCGTCGGCGTAGACCTGCGACCCGTCGCCGTGGCGCAGGTCGTCCTTCCACTGGCCCTCGTAGCGCGCCGTGTCGTGGTAGTCGCAGGTCCCGTCGCCGTCGCGCCCGGAGAGCGCGAACTGGCCCACGTAGACGTCGCCGTTCGCGAGGCGCAGCGTGCCGTAGTGGCGGTGGTCGTCGCGGTACTCGCCGACGAACGTCGCGCCGTCGTCGTAGGTCGACCGCGCGCGGCCGTGCCTATTGCCGCGGAACCACTCGCCCTCGTACTCAACCTCGCCGAAGGCGTCGCGCGGCGGGCCGCGCCACGCGCCCTCGCCGTGCGCCAGATCGTCCAGCCACTCGCCGTCGTAGACGCCGCCGTCGCCCGCGTACGTCATGCGGCCGTGGCCGCTCCGCAGGCCCGCGACGAACTGGCCCTCGTAGGACGCGCCGTCGGGCGCGTCCTGCTTGCCCCAGCCCTCGTCGACGCCCGACTCGAGCACCTCCTCGGGCTCCTCGTAGGGCTTCGCGAGGCGCCGCTCCGCGAAGTTCGCCAGGTTCGGCCCGAGCTGCACCCACAAGCTCGGGCAGGTCGCCAGCGCGTCGTGGGACGTCGGCATGGGCGCGCCGGGCACGTGCCAGCGCGTCGGCGCCATGACCGCGCGGTCCGCGCCTCCGCAGACGTACGCGCCCGGCGCGGCCTCGAGCGGCACCAAGGCCGCGCACGCGCCGCAGGGCACCGACTCCAGACCCTCGCCGGCGTCGACCCACGTCGCGTCGCTCCAGCGGCAGTGCTCGACGAAGCCGCGGTCGTCGAGGCGCGCGTCGAAGACGCGCTCGCACGAGACCTCCAACTTCCGCGCGGCCGGGCCGCCGAGCCCGTCCGCGCCCGTGCCACCTAATAGCAGCAGGGTCCAGACCGCGGGGGCGCGCTTCTCGCCGGCGACGGCCCGCGGGTTGTCGCTGCCGTCCTGGGGCAGGGTCAATGCCCAGCCGACGGCGCAGTGCATCGCCGCGCGCGGCGCGGCGCGCGCGAGCCGCGTCCACACCGCGGGCTCGCGCTTGCGCTCGACCTCGGCGACGGGCTTCTTCTTCTCGACGACCTTCTCCTTCTTGGGCTCCGGCGCCTTCTTCTTGGACACCTTGGACTCGCGCTTGCCCTTCTTGCCCTTGGCGGCCTTCGCGTCCTCCTCGGGCGCGGCCGCGGCCGCGGGCGCGGCGGCGACCTCGGGCTCGGGCTCCGGCGGCTTGGGCGTCGAGTAGATGAAGGCCGGCGTCATGTCCAGGATCCACATGTCGTCGTTCGCGTGGACGTACGTGCCCTCGCGGTCGCGGATCATGCCGCCGGCGACGACGGCCGCGCGCGCGTTCTCGCCCACGGGCGCGAGGGAGTGGAAGAAGCGCGCGGGCGGCTTGCCGCCGACGGTCATCAGCTTGGCCCAGGCCGGGCTCTCGGCCGGGTCCAGCACCCACGTGTCGTCGAAGAGCTTGCCGTCGCCGCCGCGGCCGCCGTGGACCAGGCCGACGGGCCGCTCGCGCATGCCCGCGACGACGCCGTGGCCCGCCCAGCTCCGCGCCGCCGGGCCCACGTCCTTGGGATGGTTCGGCCGCCACGTGAGCCCGCGGCCGGACACGGCGCCGCAGTCGGTACGGCCGAGCGTCGCGCGGCTCGCGTCCGTGGCCTCGCCGCCGAAGACGTAGAGCTCCTGCCTGAGCATGAAGGCGGCGTGGCCGAAGCGGTTCACGAGGCCCGTGTTCTCGCTGTCCGGCGTCCAGTAGCGGCCGTCGCCCCGCTTGGCGTCGATGGCCGTCACGCGCAGCCAGGGGTCGCTGTCCTCGGGCCGCTGCGGGCCCCGGTCGTGGCCGCCGACGACGTAGAGCACGCCGTCGGCCTGGGCCACCGTCGCGCCCAGCAGCGCCGCGCTCGACGCCGCGTCGAGGACCTGGATGGTCTCCATGGTCGGGCCCGGGCAGCCCGCGCTGTGGGTCAGCTGAGTGGGCCCAAAGATTGTTGCGGCCGAAGCTGAAGTGGGTGCCACAAGACGATGTTCAAAGCTTGAGAGAGATGGCCGAGCAGCACGACCAGAGCAACGACGACTGCCTGCTCTGCGGCGCGATCTACTGCGGCGAGGCCGGCTGGCCGCTCTGCGACACGCCCGGCTGCGCGAACGTGTGCTGCGCGAGCTGCGTGGCCACCACGGGCCTGAGCGTCGGCGACCTCTTCTACTGCCCGGCCTGCGCCGGCGGCGGCGAGTCCGCCGCGGCCGTCGCCGGCGGCGCGCTCACGGCCGCGACGTTGGGTCTGGTGGACCTGTCGAAGATGCCGCTGTCGCTCAAGGCGCTGCGGAGCGTGGTCAAGAACGCGCGCAACGACGACCCGAAGTACCGGCGGCTCCGCCTCGCGAACCCCAAGGTCGCGCGCGCGCTCGACGTCCCGCCGGCGCGGCGCTGCCTCGCGACGCTCGGCTTCGTGGAACGAGACGAGGGCGGCGAGCGCGTCCTCGTCGCCGACGCCAAGCCGGCCGCGGACGTCGCCGACGACGTCGCGGCGCTGCTCCAGGGCCTCGACGACGACGACGACGGCGGCGCGCCGCCGCCGACGGCGAAGCGCGACCGCGACGACGGCGCGGCGACGGCGACCGCGGAGCGCGACCGCGACGACGGCGCGGCGACGGCGACCGAGGAGCGCGACGCGAAGCGGCCGGCGACCGGGGCGCCTTCGGAACCGGCGATGGACCCTTCGGAGGAGCAAAAGCCCGCGTAATCTAGTTCGCGCGGACGAAGGACATGAGGCGCGCGATTTCCGCCTCCGTGAGGTCGTGGGGCTGGCCGGGCTCCGTGTGTTCGACCTTGAGCGCGTCCTCGATGCCGAGGGCCGCGAAGATGCCGCGGTAGGCGGCCATGGACGCGTCGACGGGGAAGATGGTGTCGCTCTCGCCCCACCAGATCATCCAGCTCATGTCGCCGCCGACGTAGGTCGCGTTGGCCCGGGCCGCGGCGGGGTCCGCGCCCGGCATGTGGCAGAGCGGCGGCAGCGGGTAGCCGTCGAGCACGGCGACGCCGCCCAGGGCGTAGTCGAGGTGCGCGAGCTGGACGTAGCTCGCGAGCTGGGCGCCTTCGGAGAAGCCCGCGAGGACGACCCGGGACGCGTCGCGGACTCCCGCGAGCTCGCGGTCGACGAGCGCGGACACGTTCGCCGCCGACGCGCGGATGGACGCGAGGTCGTAGGCGCAGTCGTCGTCGAGGCCGCAGCCGTTCTTGAAGGACTCGTACCAGACGTGCGACGGGATCGGCGACGTCGGGAAGACGAGCTTGAGGCCCGTGACGTTGCCGAACCAGCCGCCGTCGTACTGGTAGCGCCAGTCGCCGCCGCCTGAAAGTGGACGATACGAACTCCTCGCTCATCTAGGACGCGGGCCCCGCGCTGCCCCCGCCGCCGTGGAGCAAAATCGCAACCTTGTCGTAGCCGCCGCCGCCGCCGACGACGGAGATCACGTCCATGCCCGCGACGGTGTAGCTGTCCCAGACGTCGCCGCTCGGCGACGGGCCGGGCGCGGGCGTCGGGCCCTCGCAGTCGCAGAAGGCGTAGGCGCCCGACGTGACGCGCGTGCAGCCAGGGCAGCACTGGAGGCAGTCGTAGTCCGAGTCGGAGCCGCAGAGCAGGCACGAGTCGCCTACCAAGTGCGACGGGGTCGGATTTCTTCACATCTTCAGGCGAAATTCACGCGAAAAAACACTCCTGTCGCTCGACGCTGCGAGTCGCCGTAGTCGACGCCGCAGTCCTCCTTGGCCACGGCCGTGCACGACTTGTCGTCGCCGAGGCCGATGCGCAGCGCCGACGCGGCCGTGAAGAGGAGGAGGAGGAGCTTCATGTGTGTTTGGGGAGCTGCCATCCTGGCATCCTTCGGGCTTCCCAGCTAGCGCGAAGACAATACGATCTCTCTGTTCAAGTTGAAGTGGCTCGCTCTCGCTTCGCGCCAAGTGACTCGGCGGTCCGGGCGCGAACTTCTAGTTCGCGTCGCTCGTGTCTGAGGGGCAGCCCCCCGCTGGAGCCGCGAAGAAGAAAAATACTTAAGAGGTTACGTTTTTGGGGGCGCGGGGCCGGCGAAAGGCACCGCGCGGACAGAGACAACAGAGTTTTCGGGGCCGGGAGACGGACGGGCTTCGGTGATGGTCGAGGAGCACGGGGGGGCTCATCGTCCGCAGAAGAAGAGGCGGCCCTTGGAGATGGCCTTGCGCCGCCACTCGTGCGACGCCGGTAATTCCTCGAGGAAGCTCGGCCGCTTCCGGCGGACGAGGGGCCGGCTCGCGTCGTAGACGGACTGCTCGAGGGCGAAGGTCGCCGCCGGGTCGAAGTCGTCGAGCTGCTGGGCGGCCTCCTCGGAGCGCACCGCGGCGCGCGGCGGCCGCGCGGGCGCGCGGAGCGCCGGCGGCGGCGGCGGCGCGCACGGCGACACGTAGGTGTCGGGCTTGAGCATGGGGCCCGCGTCGAGGGCGAAGTCGTGCATGCACTGGTCGAAGACGCAGACGTCGCTGCTGCTCGCGGGGACGAAGGAGGGCTGCGCCATCGGCGGCTCGTCGGCCGGCGCCGCGGCGTCGTCCGGCCGCGGGGGCTGCTTGGGGGACTCGTCCTTGGGGCTCTCGGGGAGCAGGACCTCGGGCGTCTGGCCGCCGCAGCGGCTGTACGTCGCCTTGGACCACCGCGTGCGCGTCATGGCGGAGAGGGGACTCGGCGTTTGAACGTCCCCCGTTCGAACGGCGGGGCGCCGGGCTGGGCGCCGCGGGCGCGGGGCCGCGGGGCGGCGGCGGGGCGGCGAGCGGGGCGCCGGGGCGGGCCCCGGTCCTTCGTGTCGCCGGCGGGGCGGCGGCGGGGCGGGGGCGGGTGAACCGGGCAGTGACGCCGGCTTGCTTGTTCTTTTGTTCACTCCGGAGTGCGGCTTGCCTGTTCCGAGCCAGCTCATGCTCATCGTGCGGTTACGGGCAGCCTCAAGCAAGCAAACCATGCCCTCAACACCCTCAATACCGGCTCGAGCCCAAGAGCTCGCCGCAGCTGAGCACCCGCCGCCCGCAGCCCGCAGCGCGAAGCCACCGCCGCCGCGCCGCCGCCGGCCGCGCGCGACCGCTCCGCGCCGCCGCCGCGCCGCCGCGCCGTTTCGGAGCAGAGGATGGCGCAGCAGGTTGCCGCCGCGGCGCCGGCGCCGGCGCCGGCGACGGTGCTCGACGGCGAGGAGAAGCCCATGAGCGAGCAGGACGTGATCCGCATCTTCAAGGGCTTCAAGCGGGACTCGCAGATGATCATCTCGAAGATCTCCGAGCTCGAGTACGAGATCGGCGAGCACGAGCTCGTCATGGCGAACGTGTCGAGCCTCGCGCCCGAGCGCACGGCGTACCGCCTCGTCGGCGGCGTGCTCGTGAAGACGACCATCGCCGAGACGACGCCCAAGGTCGAGACGAACATGGCCAACATCCGCGCGACCATCGACCAGCTGAAGAAGGCGCTCGAGAACGTCAACGAGAAGTCGAAGGCGTGGAAGGAGAAGTACGGCATCAAGACGCAGCAGGAGTTAGATTTCGATCGCGCGGCGCAGGCCGCCGGCGGCCCCGCCGCGCCCGCGGCCATGGGCGTCCTCGCGTAGGCTGGTTTACCCGCTCGCGTAGACGCCCGCGGTGAGCAGGAGCCCGAAGAGGAGCTGGAGCTTCGCGGTGCCGCCGACGTAGGCGTTGAGCGCCGCGCCCTCCTCGGCGAAGACGGACCTCGTCGTCTTCGCCGCGAGGGGCGCCGAGAGCAGCGGCAGGAGCCAGGCCGCGGGCGCCGCCCGGAGCGCGACGCACGCGGCGACGGCGCCGTAGGCCGCCAGGACCAGCGCGAGGTACTCGGCGCGCGCCGCGGCGCCGCCGAAGCGCACGGCGAGCGTGCGCTTGCCCGCGCGCACGTCCGTGTGGCGGTCCCGCAGGTTGTTGACGACGATGATCGCCGTCGCGAGGCAGCCGACGGCGGCGGCGGCCGCGAGGAGCGCGGCCGGGCACGCGCGCGGCGCCCCCGCCTCGAGCGCGAGGTAGTAGGGCGCGAGCGTCGCGACGAGGCCGAAGTAGGCGAAGACGAACACGTCGCCGAGGCCCGAGTAGCCGATGCTGACGTTTCCCAGACCGACGTAGCCGAGCGGAAAGGGCCCGCCCGTGTACGCGAGCGCGTTGAAGACGCTGGTGATCGTCACGAACGTCATCCAGCCGCCGCAGCCCGGCCGCCTCGCGAGGGACGCGCCGATGGACGCCGCGGCGACGAGCGCCGCGGTCGACAGGCCCGCGGTCTGGCCCGGCGACAGCCAGCCCTTCTGCGTCGCGCGCGCCTGGCCCACGCGGTCGTCCGTGTCCGCGCCCTTGACGAAGTCGGCGTAGTCGTTGTGCAGGTTCGTGCCGATCTGGATGAGGCAGGCGAAGACCCAGAAGCGGAACGCCGGCGCCGGGTCCAGCGCGCCGAGCTCGCGCGACGCGACGGCGAAGCCGACGAGGACCGGCGTGAAGGACGCCGCGAGCGTGTTCGGACGCGTCGCGAGGACGAGCACCTTCCAGGTCGGCGGCCGCTCTGCTTCTTTCGCGCTGTTGGCGGGCATGGCGGCGGCTTTCGCGCTCGTGGCGGTCGCGGCGGTGCTGGCAACCATGCGCACTTGAGGTGTTGTGGCGAAATGAATGAAAATCTCGCGGCCGAAAAGGCTGAGGCTGTGGGCAGCCCGCCCGGTCCGCGGAAGTCGATGAATGCCGCTCTCCCAGTGGTTATGCAGCAAACCCTAGCGCACCGTCCTCCGCGCGTGGAGGCCTAGCGCGAGGCGCAGCGGCGGCGGGGCGCAGCGAAACACCTCCGCCAACACCATGCTGCAGTCCCTCGTTTCGTGGCTCCACGGCGGCGACGAGGAGCAGGCGCGCGACGGGCGGCCGGCCGTGGCGCGCTGGCAAAGCGACCCGCGCTGCCTCGAGGCCGCCGTGGACCTCTACGTGGACTACGTCGAGGTCGACGACAGCGCCGCGGCGCCCATCGACCGGGGCGCGTCGCCGCGGCACCGCCGCGGCGCGGACCGGCGCCGCTTCGTCGTCGCGGCGGCCGTGCCCGTCTACGGCCCCGCCGCCGAGTGCGCCGACGGCGCGCCGGGCCGCGCCGAGGGCGCCAGCGCCAAGGCCGGGGAGCCCGTCGCCTACGCGGCGGCGTTCCGGCGGCTCGCGGACGCCGTCGACGAGGCCGTCGAGGGCGCGGTCGTCAACGAGGGCCGGACGACGCAGGCGTCGCGGCGCACGGACAGCGTCGCGGCGACTTCCCCGTCCCGGGTGCGCAAGCTCTGCGAGAAGGCCTGCGCCGTCGGCCGCCAGGACCCCGAGGCGCTCGTGCGGCTGCTCCGGCTCGACGCCGCGCGCGCGTTCCGCGACGCGGAGCCGTCGCCGCTCGCTTTGGCCTACGCCGCGGCGTTCCGCGTCGCGCGGGACGCGCGCGCCTGGCTGGGCTTCGCGCCGGCGAAGCGGTCCTACGCCGTGAGCCTGAGCGCGTCGGGCGTGAACTCGCTCGCGCAAAAGTACGAGCAGCTGCTGCGCGACGGCTTCGAGGACGCCGAGGCCGCGCTGCGGGCGCTCGACGCGTTGCGGACGCGGCTGCCCGTGCCCCAGCGCGTCGTGCGCTTCGTCCGGGGCTCCGAGTTCGACGACGTCGAGGAAGCAGAGGACGCGGCCCAGAACCGGCGGACGTCGTTCCCGCGCGCGCGGACGTTCTCGTCCGGCGGCGCGGACGACGACGAGAGCCTCAAGTTCGCGCCGGAGGCCGCGGACGACTTCCTCACGGACGCGGCGCCCCTGGGCCAGGGCATGGACGACTCGGCGCTCTTCGCGTGCCGCGACGGCGGAAAGCTCTTCTTCACGTCGTCCTGCCGCGTCGCGGAGCAGTGCGCCTACGCGGGCCGGGGCGCGCCCGAGACCGACGCGTCGCGGCCGGCCATCGTCGCGCGGACGATCCTCTACCAGAAGCTCGACGGCGCGCGCGACATCGCCCTCGAGCAGGGCGACGAGATCTGGGCCGCGACGATCGACGGCCGCGACTACTTCAACGTCGTCATGGCCGACGACACGGACCGGGGCCTGCGCCACGTCCTCGAGGCCGGCGGCGTCACGGACCTCGCGGCCATCGGCGTCGCCTTCGAGCGCGTCGAGTAATTCGCCCCTTTTTTTACGCGCAGTCGAGCGCGGCGAGCGACGGCGCCAGGAGGGCCCCGGCGACGAGGTCCGCCGGGCGCGCGCCGCGTCGCCGCGGCGTCTTCGTCCGCAGCAGGTGCTCGAAGGCCGTGCCGCAGCGCCCGGCGGCGAAGCGCTCCTGGGCGACGAGGCCCGTCCAGCTCGAGTCCGCGGTGCCGACGAACGCCGCGGCGCCGGCGCAGAGCTCCTGCTCGACGAGGCTCGCGTCGTAGTCGTCGCCGACGTCGCCGAGGTCGTCGAGCGACGCGTAGGCGCCCGTGCCGTTGAGCGCCGCGCGGAGCGCGGCGCCCTCGCGCGCGAACGGCCACGCCTTCTTGCGCGGCGCCGCGCGGGCCACGTAGACGGCGGGCGCGCGCGCGGCGGCGGCGACGGCGCGGATGGCGCCCGCGATGGAGGCCGTCGACGCGTAGCCGCGCGTGCCGGGGAAGCACGCGACGCGCGGGAACGACGCCTTGCCCCCGTCCTTGCAGCGCTGGTCGTCCTCGACGCGCCGCAGGTGCGCGCAGACGTAGCGCTCCGTGCCGAAGAGCGCCCGTCGGAGCCTCGCGGCGGCGGCGCGGACTCTGGGCGCGCGGCGCAGCGCGGCGACGGCCCGGAGCGTCCGCGGCGCGGCGATCGCTCCGTAGAGGGACGGGATCGATCCCCAGAGGCTCGCGGCGACGACGTCGTGGTGCGCGTAGCGCTCGGCGACGCACGCCGCGTAGCTCCCGTCCGGCTTGGGGACCTTGGCGCAGCGGCGCTTCGAGGAGTCGTCGACGAGCGGCCGCGCGAAGGGCTTCTTCGCGCAGCGCGCGCGCGCCATCGCGCAGACCGTGGCCAGGTCGCGCTGCTTCACGGCGGAGCCCCGGCCCGCGTGGACGACGACGGCGCCGAGCGCGTGCGCGCGCGGCAGATCCGCCACGCGCGCGACGGCGACGAAGCGGCCGACGGCCGCGGCGTCGAAGGTCTCGTTGAACGCGCGGACGTCGCGGCCGCGCGCGTTGAGCCACTTGAGGAACGGCGCCGCCACGAGGGCGCGCCCGAGCGCCTCGGCGAGGAGCATGGATTCCAGCAGTTGCAGGTACTGGTTGTTCGGGCCGCCCATGGTCATCAATGGCCACAGGAGCTTCTTGCCCGCGTCCTTGGGCTTTCGCAGTCGTTGCCGTGGCGCGTCGGTACCGGCGACGGCGGCCGCGAGCGCCGCCGCGATGACGAAGCTAGATCTCATATCGATGCATCATGACGCTAGTCCATTCGCATGCACGCGGCCACTACCATGCCGTGGCAGCAAGCAGCTCGATGAGTAACGTTGAACCGAAGCTGCACCAAAAGTTTCGTCGGCTGCCCGAGGAGCCCCGCGGCGAGGAGCCCCGGGAAGCTCGTCGCGTCGCCGACGGCGCGGAAGCCCGGGAGGCGGCACTGGCTCTCGGGGTCGCTCCTCGACAAGCTGACGACGTCGGTCACGGGCCTGACGCCGCGGTCCCAGCGGGCCTTCGACGCCGCCGCCGCGAGCCCGCTCGTCGTCGTCCCGTCGCCGGAGCCGCGCGAGTTCGACTGGCCCGCGCTCGAGGCCTACGAGGCCGACGAGGGCGACCGCGCGGACAAGGAGACCGTCGGGCGGGGCATCAAGGGCGTGCTCAACGTGTGCTACTCCGTGCTCGTCACGGGCCTCGTCATCGGCATCCAGGAGCTGCTGCGCGCGACGAGCCGGGTCTTCCCCTGGCTCGAGGTGCTCTGCACGCTGCTCGCGGGGCTCGTGCCCTCCCAGGTCCAGGACTTCATGCTCTCCTACATGGCCGTCATCCTCGGCGAGACGAACCGGCGCTTCAACAGCCTCTGGAGCGAGTCGGCGCTCCAGCGGAGCGTGCAGGAGGACTTCGCGCTCTTCCTCTGCGGCGTCGGCTTCGCGGTGCCGCTCCTCGGCGCGTCGCTCTACGAGGCCGTGAGCGAGATGGGCAGCGACCCGCTGTCCATCTTCAACCTGATGGCGTCGAACGTGCCGTCCCTCGGCTACACCTTCGCCATGCTCGTGCTCATGCAGATCGGCGGCAGCCTCCAGGAGGCGCTCCGGCTGGAGTCCTACGGCTGGTACCGCGTCAACAGGGACGTCCGGCGCGTCGACGCCGACGACCTGGACGCGAGCCTCGAGCCCGAGGACGCGGACTACGGCGCGCTGGCGGGCTGGGAGGCCTTCGCGCTGCTCGTCGGCGCGGCCTACGCGCCGCTCGCGCCGTTCACGACCTTTGTGTGCGGCTGCTACCTCTTCGTGCTCTACGGGTTGGCGAAGCACGACGTCGCGAACGTGTCGACGACGCCCTTCAACACGGAGGGCGCGCTCTGGTACGCGGGCGTGCGGCAGACTTTGGCCGCGCTCGGCTTCGCGCTCGCGCTCAACGGCGGCGTCATCGCGCTCAACGGCGGGCTCTGGCAGGCGCTCTGCTGCCTGCCGCTGGGCCTCGTCTGGCACAAGTACTACGCCGCGGCCGAGCGCCGCTACGCGACGCGGTCGCTCCACGGCCTGTCCAAGGGGCGCCTCCCGCTACGGGAC